AGTTAGAATTGTCATTTTTATTATATTGGTTTGGCCTACCCATGAGCAATTAACATTTTTCTAGTTATTTAGATCAGATTTTTTAAAAAATTATCCATTCTTTAGTCTGTTTTAGAATTTACTTATTTATCTAATTTGAGGGCTTCTTTTGTACTTATTTCAATTTTTTTATTTGCTAGCTTTCTAAATTTTGGCAAATAATCAGTTCATTAATCCTTTCCTTTTCTATATGTATATATGTATTAAGATTATAATTTTTCCTCTGGAGATTGCTTAGCTGTATCCTAGAAATTTTGGTATATTGTCTCATAATTATAATTTTTCATATAAATTTATTTGTTTATATGATTCATTTTATAACTATCTCATTATTTAGGATTTTACCATTAAATCTTCATTTTAGTCTGACTCTTTTATGTTCACTGAAATACAAATATTTTTATTGTCTTATGGTTTGTAAAAGGTGTAAAGTACTCATTTGTTCATTCATTTGTTTGTTTCTTCTTTTTCCCTTTCCTTCCTTTTTTCCTTCATCTAATTCTTCCTTTTCCCCATCCAAGTTTACTGTTGAATTAAATAGCAGCCTTAATGGCACACTTTGACAATGTGACTCACTCACTCCTCCATATTCTCTTCTTTCTACTTTTTGGGACACCACTTTCTCCTGGTTTTCCTCCTACCTATCTGACTATTCCTTCTCTGTCTTCTTTGCTGGATCCTTCTCCAGATCATGTCCTCTAACTCTAGGTATGTGTCAGGGTTCTGTTCTGGGATCTTTTTCCTTCTCCCTCTATGCTGCTTCACTTGGTGATTTCATCAGCTCCCATGGGTTTAATTATGACTTCTATACTGATGATTCTTAAATTTATCTTTCATGCCACAGTTTTTCTGCTGACCTCTTACATCTTGCATCTAAAACTGCTTTTCAGACATCTTCAACTGGATGTCCAGTAAATATCTTAAACTCATTATGTCCAAAACAGAACTTATTATCTGCCCCCCCAAAAAAAACCCTCTCCATCTCCTGTCTTCCCTATTACTGTATGGGGCAACTGGTGTGTATGGGTGTTCAGGAAGACTTAACTCTTTGTGTGAGGGCTTGCCAAGCTCTTTTCAGGGCTGCTCCTCCATCTTTGGTATTCACCTGATTCACCCAACTCTTACTCATGGCTTTAAGAAGCTATAACATGCACAGCAGTCACACCTCAGTAAACCATCTTGGTAGATGGGTTAAAGCAGGTTGAAAATACTCAACAGGCCTCAAATCTCTCAGTGAGTTAAAGTGGTATCTACCCCAAGCATGTGAAGACCATCCCTAGCAGAATAGGTAGATGAGAACAATTTGTTCCAATGGCCACGAAGGTGGCTGAAGCAGGCTGGGCCCTTAGGGCTTGGTCAGACACTGAAGACTCCAAGGTCATCTACTACATTCCAGGCCATCAACAATCATACTGACTTTGGTTTTGCTGCTGGACTTCAATGATTCGGGAAGAGAGAGTGAGGCTGATAATTTTGTGCAACTCTACCTCACTTAAATTCAATTCACATGCAAGTCAATACATCACTCATGATGTCACTGGTCCTCTTCACAAATGAAGGACAGACAACAAAAGGGCAACACCATCCAGGCACATAGTAGGTGCTTAATAAATTATTTATTGTTTGATTGATTTTTTTTCACCTTCTTAAACTTTACCTAGTTTTCTTCCTTAATTTTATTCCTTTTGAGTTCTAAACTTTTATTCTTTGATTCATGATCTATATAGTTATTAATTCATTATTTAATCCATTTGTATTCCACATAGAATTAAAGCTCCTCTTGAAGAATCTAGTCTGAGCTCCCTCTTCCATCCATTTTCTATGTAAATCCTTGTAGATCCTATGTAGAGCCTTGTAGATTCCCCTGTTTGTTCCTTTTCCCCACCACTGTGGTGTCTCACTCTTAGAAATATCAATTAATGAAAAGCAATGATGATATCATTCATGAATTATCCAACATAATAATAAATAAATAGTTATTTAAATATACCTTTTCCTGCAAGGGAATGCTCTACAGTGGGAATCTTTCCTTCCATTGGATTAAGACCTTTCCCTCTAATTCTCTGTGTTTAAATCCGCTCCTCCTGTCATCTCTCCCATTCTCCTGGATAATTCATGAATGATGGGATGAAATACATTTAGAGGTCAGCTAGATATATATGGCTGAGGCTTAAGGATTGGCTTACTCATTTCACAATTTAGAGCAGTTCTGCCTAGGGCAAGCCCAAAAGGTGAAATGATTAATTCCCCTGGGTAGGGCATCCTTGTAGGGTCTTCCATCTTTCCAGGGGAATGGCTCTCCTTTCGTACCAGGGTTATACGTAGAAAAAGAAATCCTTTAGCAGACAGCATATATTAAAAGAACATTTCTCCACCCATATGGTATGAACCTCAGAGGGTACAAAAACACACAAAATAGTTTTGGGTTCTCTTTCAAGAAACATTTTAATGGATAGAGTGATGGATGTGGAATTGGGAAGTATTGATGACAAATCCCTCCTCAAACATTTGCAAGTTATGTGGGCTTTGTTGAGTCACTAAATCTCTCCTGGCTTCAGTTTCCTCATCTGTAAAATGGAGACAATAATCATGCCTATTTTATGGAATTGTTGTGAAGATCAAGGGAGATCATGCCTGCAAAGTACTCTGAAAGCCTTATGCTGATGCATAAATGTTAATTACTACTATCACTACCTACTACAGAAAAGTAGTGTACCAGGAGCACAAATATACAAACAAAAGTCTCTGACACTAAAGAGCGCTCTAGCAGTACAGACTGTAATCTGTTCTTGTGTCAAAAGTGGTTGAGAACAAAATAAAACAAACAAAAATATTGCCTCCCAATTCTGGAATTCTAGGGGTGATCAAACTGACCATTGGAAATTTCAGAAGAGCCATATTTGAAACCTTTTAAGTGTAGTAGGACCCAGAAACACTTATGCTTCACTAGCATTGCCCTCAGCAACTGTGTAGTTGTTAGACATGGACTTCCGTGGATCCTAATCAAGTGATTTTAAGTGCCAGATGGCACTTGAATAATTCTTTGTGGTCATGATGAAAGAATATCAGTGTTGGCTCATGTTATTGGGAAAGCAGAATACTTAAATTTGGTCAACTAAATTACCTATATTAACAAAGGCTTTTGTTGTGGATAACATAAAATAGTGATTGGCCTTTTCCTTCCTCCTTAATTGTCATTCCATGCTGTTCCCTTCCTTGGAGGCTTTTTATTGGCACTGTATCTTTGCAGTGGCCTTTCTCATTGCCATCTTTGCTGCTTTCAGTGTTATTCTGATTGATAGAGTAAAAAGTCAGTGTCAGTCAATAAACAGTTCTTAAATACTTACTCTATGCCAGGCACTATGCTAAGCACCAAGGATACAAAGAAAGGCAAAAGATATCTCTGTTCCCATGTCTAACGTGGAAGAGACAATATGCCAACAACTGTAGACAGACAAGCTATATACAAGATATGTGGGAAACACTCAACAGAAGGAAGGCCCTAGAATTAAAGGGAAACACAAAAACCATCCTGTAAAAGGTGGGATTTTAGCTGAGACTTGAACAAGTTAAGGAAGCCAGTAGGCAGAGACGAGGAGGGAGAGCATTCCGGTGGGTTTTTTTGTGTGTGTGGTGGAGGGGGGTACAGGATATCTTTTATTTCATTCTACAAAAGATGTGTATGCTATAAATGACCTGGGGGTCCACACATAAGCACAAAAAATACAGAAGATATTCAAATAGCTTATCAACTTCTGCAAAGAGGGAACTGAATATCAGTTTGCTATAAAGCAATGTTTGGATATCTTGGTCTCCTTTTCTACTCGTGGAGTCCCCACCAAGACTAATACCACTCTTATTCAGGGCTGCTGAATAAGAAAGCCTCTTCCCATTGGACTTGCACTGTCTGAGTAACTCCCTGGCTTTGTTCTCCTAAGTAGAATGCTGCCTAGGAGTTGGATGTGGATAATTCCCTTCATTTACTATAAAGCAAATTGCATCAGAATTCCTCCTCTCAAGAATTGGATTTCCTTTAGTGTGTGTGTGTGTGTGTGTGTGTGTGTGTGTGTGTGTGTGATGGACTCCATTGGCAGTTTGGTGAAACCTCTGACCCCCTTCCCAGAATAATGGTTTTATAGGCATAAAGAAAAATACATAGACTGATTTGTTGTTGTTGTTGACTCATTTCCATCGTCTCCTACTCTTCATGACCCCATTTGGGGTTTTCTTGGCACAGATAGTGGAGTACTTTGCCATTTCCTTCTCCAGCTCATTTCACGGATGAGAAAACTTAGGCAAAGAGTGTTAAATGACTTGTCCAGGGTCACGTAGCTAGTAAGTATCTGAAGCCAGATGTGAACAGATTTGAACTCACTAGGATGAATCTTCTTGATTTCAGGGCTAGCACTCTAGCCACTGAGCCACCCAACTGCCTCCTGTAGTTCCCATAAAGGAAACCAATTATGTTGAAGGACAGTTACAAGCATAAGAACCACCACAACCATCACAACAGCAATAATAATAATTTATGGACCCCACTGGATCTGGAATCAAATGACCTGGGTTCCAATCCTATCTCTACTACTTAGTATCACTATGACATTGAACAAATCACTTAATTTCTTGGGGCCTCATTTTCCTTGTCTGTAAAGTGAAAGAGATGGGTTTTAGGATTTTTGTGGTGCAGTCTCGTTCTACAAACTGTGAGCGTATGAACTTGTGTCGCCTCTATGCCGCTCTCTGTCATTTCATGTCTAGAGTTTCCCCAAAAGATTCTCTTCTCTCTTGGATGGCTTAGATGTGGCCTTGCAGAGCAGCAGATGGGTGAGAGTATTTCAGTCTGCTATTTTTGCATAATATAATCAAGGGAAGCTTTTCCCTTCATATGGTGTATACATCCTAACTAGCACTTTTTGAAAGCTGGTAAGTGATAAATGTAATCCTTTTTTTTTTTCTTAAAGGAAGATATTTGGATTTGCAAAATGTAAAACGGAGAATTCTAAGCAACTGTATGACACGTTCTTCACTGAGCTGAAGAACCTAGAGGTTAGAACCGATTGGGATAAAAGAACAATTGAGTATATACTACTGTCAAGGAGAGAAACTCTGCAGAGAAAAACGGTGAGTACAATGAAAATGCACATTGTTTTACTTTTCGAGAATGAGAAGAGCAGCTTTATAATTAACTTATTGATTAACTCAGCGTACTTATCTTGAAACATAAAGTAAAAAGTTTGACATTTTTAGTTCAAATTGTCATTTCTGAAAGATTCTTCAGTAAATCTTCCTATTGGCCCTTTTACTTTACCAGTTTGTCCCAATTCATTCTTTCTTCCCTTGTATCCCTCTTCACATAGGTTCCAGGAGAAGCTCATACCTTCATATGGTGTCAACGTTGCTTGACTCTTTTTCTTATTATAGTGGAGAGATCAACATGGGGCTGTTATTGGGAATTTGCTAGGAAGTTTAAAAAAATTCATCAGTTATTTTTCAAAGTAAAACTATTACTAAATAGGTTATTGTAGTTCTCTGAAACTGTCTCAAACTTGTCTCTTGATGGTGAAAATGTGGTTCTTCCAAAACATACTTTTTATTGTTTTGAATGAACAAATCATTTCTCTGGTGAGTTCTCCTTGCTAAAGAACAAGCACATAGGTGATAGGTTATAATTACGTTTTCAAAGCATCAGTATTATTTCAATTAAACTCAGGCCATATGTTTCATTTGTGCTGAGCCTTGTTGACTAAGGAATAACTTCTACCTTTGAGAAGTATGCAATCAATTAAGAGATTAATATACTAGAGAGTTTTTTGTAAAGTAAGAAGGGAATAAAAACCGGACTTGTGATTTCATTTTTTTCAGGAAACTTCCTCTATGAATGCTTGCTAGTAGCTTTTCTGCAGCTAAAAGAGCCTTAGAGAGTCACCTAGGATATTGAGAGGTTAAAGGGGCTAGCCCAGAGTCACCCAGCTACTCTGTATCAGAGGTAGGGTTCGAACCTAGACTCTGAGTCCAGTCCTTTATTCATTGCAACAAATCACCTCGCTAAGTAGGAGATTAGAAAAAAGTCAGTGGCTGAAGATTGCATATTTCCTATTTGACATGCACAGCATGTCAAACGCTTTCTGTACGTACTTGTGCTGACACATGTTGAACAATTCACAAACCTCAAAACATTATGTGAATGTTATTATTTTACAATTATGTGTTGCCAATGTTTATAACCTATTATTTAATCATAGTGTGAATAATAATTTTGTGAATGGTCCAAAATATTGAGAAACAGGCTAGATGTGACCCAGATCATTAGGAGAGAGTGAATCTGACAAAAGGAAAGGAGCTCTTCTCTATGTACTTGAAAGTGTTTCCATGCATGGGCTTTTTTTGGTCTGTTATTTGTGTGACATTCAGAATAATTATTCTTGCCAGCTATTGCTAGAACCTACCCCTTTCTAAATTTGAATATGAATTATTACATAATCTTTGGTCTGTAGTTCAGTTTTTTATAAGATATTAACTAAAAAAGTACATATATTTAATATCTGTGTACGTGTATATATTTTAAATAAAATATGTTTATATATTATGTATTTATTATATACGTATATAAGCACATATATTTCTATATAGATATAGAAATATATGTATGTATATTATATATATTTTATGATATGTACGTATTTGTGTGTATATATGTACACACATATATAAAATAAAATGAGTGTCTATATATAATAAAAATATACAATATGTATGTATATGTATATATATACATTTTTAACTTAATATCATCTGTATCTACATCTATATTTGGAGCCTTCTTTAGTTCTGATGGCAGCTAGGTGGTGCAGTGGATAGAGCACTGGTCCTGGAGTCAGGAAGACCTGAATTCAAATGTAGCCTGAGACACTTACTAGCTATGTGACCCTAGGTGAGTCACTTAATCTTGGTCTGACTCAGTCTCCTCATTTGTAAAACAAGGATAATAGTAGCACCATTTCTGAGAGTCGTCTTGAGGATCAAATGAGATAATATTTGTAAAGCACTTAGCACAGTGCCTGGTACATAGTATGTGTTATATAAATACAAATTCGCTTTCCTTCCTCCTCTTATATACTCATTCTTATTGGAAAACATTAGTAAAACCAAACAATTCAAACTATATTGTATCAGTAATAATATTACATGAATCATTTCTGTTCCTACACTCAAAAGTTACTACCTCATTGCAGTCTTCATAGGAAAAAAGATGCAGAAAAGAGCAAAGAATTGGACTTCCATTTTGCTTAAGCTTACTTGGTGCCATCTAGTGGCCTTTTTCAGTGAAACTTTCTGAAGATTTCACTGTTACACATATGCATCTCTACTCTGTGAGGCACTAGGAAATTGGGTGTACATTTGACTAAATACCCCCAAAAGGGCATTGACTTTAAATTCTGATTGCATACTACAATAATTAATGTGGAGAATTAGAATCAGAAAAGACCTTGGAAATTTTTTTGTCCAACCCCTTCATTTTATAAATGAGCTGAGTCGCAGAAAGGTTAAATTATTACTACAAAGTCACACAGGTAGAAAGTTCCAGTCCTCAGATTTGAATTTAAGTTTCCTAAGTCTCCAAATCCAGTAAGCTTACCTCTGCACTATTCTAGATTTCATCTTTTCCTAGAGTGTGGTATCTGTGATTATAATAATGGCTAACTACAATGCTTTAAGATATGCAAAGCATTTTAGATATATTATTTCTTTTTTTTGTCCTCAGAATAACCCTCTTCTATAGATGTTATTATTTGGATAGAGTGCTGAGCCTGGAGTCAGGAAGACTTGAATTCAAATCCCACCTCAGATACTTATTAGTTATGTGACTAAGCAAATCACTTAGCCTCTGCCTCAGTTTCCTCAGGATATAAAATGGGAATTAATAATAACACCTCCCTCCCAGGGTTATTATGAGGATCAAATGAGATGATATTTGTAAAGCACTTAAAATAGTGTCTGTCAGGACAGGTAGGTGGTACAGTAGATAGAGCACTGGCCCCAGAGTCAGGAGGACCTGAGTTCAAATCTGGTCTCAGACCAGACACTTGACGCTTACTAGCTGTGTGACCCTGGGCAAGTCACTTAACCCTGATTGCCTCACCAAAAAGCAAAACAAACAAACAAACAAAAAAGAATAGTGCCTGTCATGTAGTAGGCAATATATGTGCTAGCTGTTGTTACTACAACTATTACGGTTATTATTATTATAATTTCCCTTTTTGGATGAACAGACTGAGACTCAGAGGGATTGTGACATACCCATAGTTACACAATTAGTATGTCTTGTTGGCAGGATTCAAACCCAGGTCTCACTTTACTCTGAATCGATAGCTTTTGAGAACTCAATAAATATCAAAGATTTATGAACTTTAGTGGACCTAATACTAAGATAATAAGTGGCCAAAAGTGGTAAATAGGAGGCAGAAGAGGAAAAATTGTCATTAATAATAATTTAGAAATTGAAAGTTGTCTTACTAAGGGAAAGGGGGGAAGGAATAAGCATTTAGGTAACATCTACCACTACCAAGCATTGTACTGAGTGCTTTTGAATATTATTTCATTTTGATCCTCACAACAACCCTGGGAGGTAGATGCTATTGTTACCACTTAATAGTTGAGGAAACCAAGGCAAACAGAGGTTAAATGCTTTGCCTAAAGTCACATAGCTAGTAAGTGTCTGAAGCTGGATTTGAACTCAGGTCATCCTCATTCCAGGTCCAGCGGTCTATCCAATGGGCCACCAAGTTGTCTCCTAAATACTTAGAAATAAAAGAGTGATGATATTTGTACAGACAGCCAACTTTACAGAGTTTTTGTAAGGAAAGTGCTTGTACATTTTGAAAATCCATAGCATTATAGGTTATTTTTCTAGAAGGTAGACTCCATGAGGGCAGGATCCCATATGAGCTAAGTTTTGTATCTTCCCCACAATTTGGCACAATTTCATTGGGGAATTCCCAAGTGAGGAGGCCCCCTCCAACAATTCAGGTAAGTCTTTTCTGTCCAACTTATACTATTGATTTCCTAGAGCAATGAATGGGGTTAAGTGACTTAAACCAAGGTAACAGTGCTGGCATTTGTCAAAATCATGACTTGAACCTTACTCTTCCTTACACTGAGCTACCACTACTCCAAACTGTCTTTACCCCTCCATACCGTAGTTGTTTAAACCTGTTGTTGAGTGGATACATATATGTATGCATATGTGCACGACTGACTATATGAAAGCACTTGCTTTGGTGGCTAACATTTCCACTCACATTCTAATAACTCAGGCCAATGTTTTTTTAAGCATGGAGTCTCAAGAGTACTTGCTAGGTCCACATGCATAAGTGTAGTTGAAAAGATTCCTGCTTCACCTGCATTACTTTGTCCACTGATTATACATTTAGCCTCCTACCTCCTGGGCTGGCAGCATTTATAACTGGTGTTTACCAATTATGGCGGCTGCTGTGGATCTCGTATTCTAGGGAATTGCCCTAGTCAGCTTCAAGAATTAGCCTTCTTATTTCTTATTACTGCAAACCAAAATGTTTGATCTGTCTATGCTATGCTGCATTGCTGAAAGCTATATTTCATAATGACCTTGCACAGTATCTATTAAGGTTGCCCATTTTGTTAGTTGCTTTGATATACCAATCTTGTATCTGTACCACATGTGACCCAGTCTTAAAGCTGAGTTATGCCATGTGTGATATCCAGGCTGATGGACTTCATTATTAGAGACCCCTCTCTAGGAATTTGGTTAAATATAGTATTACTGATTAGCCTAGCAGAGAAGCTTTATGTGATGCCAAACGATAGGCCGTTGTCATCCCTCTTGGATCCATTTAAATTAATTCATCCCTTCACGTGTAAGACACTAAGGATGATTAATACTTTCTGCCCTCAAGAAATTTACATTCAACTATGTATATAGAATGTACACAAATGTGTGAAAACAAGATTTGGTTGAGAAGGAATAGGGCACAAAGAACTAGAGCTGATTAGGAAAAAAAATCTTCCTTTATGAGAGATGGCACATGAGTTGAGAGGAAGCTAAGGATTCTGAAGACAAAAAACGAGGAAGAATTGTATTCCGG